AAAAGCATGTTTAGAAAGTAACTAGATATCAAAGCAGGGTACGAACACAAATATGCATTTGTCCTAATCGCGAAGGCGTTTAATAAGACGACTTGTGTAAATACGGAATCAATGCATTTGCGTGGATTTAATCCAAAAAAGAGCATAAAAGAACAAATTACTACGTCAACAAAAGATTATGATCTCCTAAAAACTCACTAGCCGCGAAAGCCGCCTTGCGAATCGACCTGAGCATTTTTTGAAAGACGGGCAAAGTGATACAAATTTAAACAAACGTCAATGGGAATAACATAAAAGAAAATTCCACGTTATTTTCTGATTGTTTGTTAAAAATATTGCATAAATCTAACCAAAAATAATTTTTCTGAGAGATATTTTCTGGATAAAATGTGTCGTTGTATGACTCAAACAGACGACGAATGGGATGATGGCATGCCTACCCACGTATGAGGTACAGCTATCAGCCATTCAACAGCAGAATTTCTGTCCTGAGGATGGGTTTTGATATGGAGTGTCCTAAGTATGGGAAGACGCCACTTACCTCGCTTACTGAACACTCCACGAGCGCCCTTTCTCTTTTACAGGACAGATGTGCGGACTTGGAAGACGCATTATATTTACTAGAATCATCGAAAAAGGAAATCCTTGGGCAAATCGAGCAGTGCTTCCAAACAATCTTCCGTTGCCTCGAAGACCGACGAAAAGCACTTATTCTTGACTTAAATCAGTCTTTGGAGGAACGCCGAACCCTCATCGAAAAGCTAATGAAGGAATTGGAAGAACGGAGTCAGAAAATCAAAATGAATGTCGAAGTGATCAAACAAACTAACCTATCTAAGAACGATGGCATAATTGCAGGTGGCAAACAAAGTCTGGACGACACGGAACTATCAGCACATGGGGCAAGGCTTGAGGAGGAACTTCGTGCCGCATTGGGTTTGCCAGTTCCCATTCATCCTTCCACAAGCGATATTCTTTCTTACTTCCCCATTGATTTGGATCAGTTGCTAAGTCTGATAAAAAATTTTGGGGCCATTGGTGTCACTAGCATTGATGCTGATCAGACCTGTTTGAAAAGTTTTTCAGATGAAAACTCACAAGGTATAATTCGATGCAACGTCAATCAAGTGACGTTTGAGAAGATTCATGCAATTGACTGTCAAGGACGAGAAGTTAATGTGATCAATCCGGAGGAATTTACAGTTTCACTTACGCCACGATTGTCTAATTCAAATGAGGCCATAATCGTCTCCGAGGTCAACAAGAACGGACTTTATACGACAAATACTCTGGGTATTCAACTCAAGTTGTATTATCCAGGGACGTACGATGCCAACGTTAAAATTCTTGGTGAACATATTCGTGGTTCTCCATACCGAATACAATGCTTTCCTGCACCAGGACCAGTGGCTAAGGAATGGAAATCAGTCTTCGATGATATAAGCAAACAGGCAGAAATACGCCTCGGTCAAGTTCGGAAATTTAGGCGGTCCTATTCGGCTAGGTCGCCCGTGAAGCCGTTTCATCCCAAGAGGGCTTACGCGGACAAACTAATTTGGAGCAGAAATGGACTACTGTTTACTGTAGGTATTCGAGGCCGAGGCCCCTCAGAATTTGGCTGTCCACAAGGAGCATGGGTGACCAGGGACTCGAAGATCCTGGTAGCCGATAGTAACAACGCAAATGTTCAGGTAGTTTGATAAACTTTTAGTTTTTTTTATCGCCCATAAAGATATTTTAATATACAATACGTTCATGAGCGAAATAGATAGACGTTTAAGTACCTCATTTTAAACTGCCATTATAGTATTAGCCTAATTTACCGTTTTAACTTATTTTCCTATTTAGCTTTTTCTCCTATATTCTTTTCCAAAATGAAGGCTCGTTGAACTCTGCCTCCATTTTCGTCTTGGAAGTTTTGTTTAGGTGCCTATTTCCTAGTTCACAATTAATTACTCAAATGGCTATCTATTTTCCTAAAAGGGCAAATTCTACTTATATCAGTATTTATTTTTGAATTTTATCCGTTCACGTTGTAATAATTTTATCTCAGTACTAAGTTTGTTTAGACAGTGCCTTCTTGGCGCTAACAAATATAAATTTCAAATTTCAAACATAGGCAGAGAAAAGTCAACACCATTTTTTGTTTCCTAAAGGCACTCCGGAGCAAATTGTTTTTAAATATTGATATAACACATAATACTTCTTAGGAAAGGCATAAATGAATGACAGTAGGTGTATAAGAAAAAGGGAAATTCATTTGAAGTTTTGCTAGCAATTATTAAATTCCACGACGTTCTGTGCTTTCCAAACTTACTAAAATGATAACATTTTGCCATTTTTAGCTGCTTGATAAGTGCGTCATACTTGAGTTAATAAATCAGAGGCTTAGTGCTAGGAAAAAATAACATCTAAGCTCTTCAGGGCGTTTTAAAGCTCCGCATCCAATTCACGAGAAAGTAGACGTTGTCCAGCAAGTATGTGAAAAACTGCTGCATATCTTTATGGTTCCCCGGATCATAGGACTTCCGAATGGTAGTTTGGGGCAACGGTCGACCGTTAACTAACTGAATGTGCATATACTTATTGCATTATTTTCTTCAAGACCTAATCCAACTTTCAACTAGAAATGCACAATAAAAATATGCATAAAGTTTCTCCAAATTCCTATGTCACATCTGGTTCAGAGTTATCTAACCACGAGTGTACCCCTGTAAAATGAGAAAAGTGAAAATATACAACGATTTTTGAGATCCGAGTGGGAAGAACTAGAAATTGGACAAAATCTTACCGAAATCTTTTAATTTTTTATAAAGTGCTTTCTTAAACTGGCCAGAAAAGAGGTAGTATCTGAGCAAATGCTTTGAGTAATATTTATACAGGAAGCTCAAAAAGAAATACGCGGCCTTGCTTTTGCGGCTAATTTGGTACACCGGAAGTGAACAAAAAGAAGCAGTATAATCGTTTACTACCTCTTAGCGAATTAGTTTATCATAAAAAATATCTAGCGTTTAAAAAAAATAAGGCCTGCAGAATTTCGCAGTTTTATAAGTTTTAAACTTAAACAATGAATGATTCAAACTAGACATGTCTAATAAACAGACTTATGCATTCAGTTGTGCTAATTAATTTTCTTCTGTACCTTTCTCCATGCCCCAGGTGTTTGATGCCGCAGGAACTCACTTGCTGCGCTTTGGTGAATTCGGCGCAGATCCAGGCCAGATGGTACGGCCCAAAGACGTCGCTGAAACCATAAACTCTAACTACCTGGTCTGTGACTTTGATTCGCACTGTATTCACGTCTTTCAGCCCTCTGGCAAGTACATGTCGCGGTTTGGACAACGCCATCTTGCTGGACCAAGTGTGAGTCTGCGTTTTTATTCCAGTCAATCAAAGTTGTGTTAACGGTATCTTAGCACAGAAACCATCTTGAAAGTATTTTTGACGAATTATAAATCTTCCCACAATACAAAGTTAAACGGGCAGAGTTGAAACACCACCGAGATTACGCCTCATATACAAGTACTTCCAAACTTAAATGTCTGAACAAAAAGGAATTCTGACAGTCCAAGCTATTTTTT